GTGTCTCTCAAAAAGAAGATCTTGCACAGAAAGTAATGGAAGGCCTGGGATTTTCCAGATTGTCCGTTCACATTGATTAAAGTTGTCCAGGTTCTTGCCTCGTCATCCCCCACTCTAAAGTGCCGAGGGAGCGAAGTCTTTGTAGCATTTCTTAAAGCGGCACTTTTCAATTTGCCTGCCCCCGGGAGCTTTACTAACAGACAAACGCTTGGACCCATCCCCAGAGTCTGATTTAACTGGTCCAGGGTGGGGCCCAGGCAACCCTGTGTTTTCAATTCCGCAGGTGACTCTAATGGACAGCCGAGGCTGTGAAGCCAAGTGTGAGAACTGATTCAGAGTCCATGAGCGCTTGTTTAAAATGCAGACACGCAGATTCAGAATTCTAGGTCTGTTGGGGATGTGCGGTTAGGGTTTTGCTCCTTTAACCCCCAGTTATTCTAAGGCTTCTATTGGAGTGCTAGTTCTACTACTTGTCATTGATTTCCCTGTTTGCTTGCCCTGTTCTCTCAGTTTTTCAGTTGTGGAAAAGGGCAACCCTCAGGCTGGAAACAGCAGTTGCATCATTCTTTGAACCTTGAGAGCAGGGAATGAGCACTTATTCTTATTTGCTCCCCGTCATAATGCCCAGAGCCTGGCACATAGTTGGCTCTCAGTTTATTCATTGAGTTAATGATTGAGCCACACCGTATCAGATAAACCAGTGGTTTACCATATATTTGTTTGACATTTAGTCAGGGCTATTGCCTCAAACACCTGTAAACACACACACGTGCACACACATTCACACATACTCCTTACACTCCTTACACACCTGCAGGTAGAAGCCACTGTCTTCAGCTCTCAAAAAACCACCCAGAGATTACCATTGGGCATACTGATCTGCACACATCCATCTGGAAAAAGGTAGATTCGAAGCAAGTGGACGGGGTGGGGGGGGTGAGCAGACTTTCTAAATAGCTGTTCTAAGGTTCTTACCCCAGCTTCTCTGCAGTCTGAGATGGGTGGGCTCTCACTTCAGCCACTACCAAAAGGTGAGCATTTGTGCCAGTGCTGAGATAGGTGTCATAAGTTGCCAACCCATGCCATAAAAAATTAAGGAAAAGTGTATTTTTGAAAATAAGCTAGTCTGATTTTCTTTTACTCTCAAATAAATTCAAGAATGTTTGCTTTTTATATTATTCTAGAGTCTTGCAACATGTTCCTTCTTCATTTATAGTAGGGGTCTCCAAGAGTCTGTTGATTCTTTCCCCAGATTCCTGCATTTTTTTTTTTCTTTTTGTGGTAGGCTGGGGTTTAGATGTTTCAGGCTGTCTTAGGACTGTCTTCTTGGGAGGTCAGGAGCAGCCAGGGGTCTTTCAGTCAGATAAAGGATGGGTTGATGGGGCTGGTCACTTGCAGGTCAGCTCCAAAGCCCAAGTTACACTCAGCTACTCACCAGTGGCTGATGTATAGGATCAGAAAGCAGTACAGCTGGCATATCCTGACCTGAGGATGGTTCTTACAGCCAGAGAACTGCCAAACTCTTTGGATGATGACCCAGTGGTCCTGGGAGCTTTCATAATATGTTTCAAATTGGGAGATTTTGAAAGTTTATAGTCCAAAAGAGAAAAAGAGAGAAGGTTGTCAAAGTTGGGATTTAAAATAGTGGGCCGGGACTTCCCTGGTGGCGCAGTAGTTAAGAATCTACCTGCCAATGCAGGGGACACGGGTTCGAGCCCTGGTCCGGTAAGATTCCCACATGCCGTGGAGCACCTAAGCCCGTGCGCCACAACTACTGAGCCTGTGCTCTGGAGCCAGCGAGCCACAACTACTGAGCCCATGTGCCACAACTACTGAAGCCTGTGTGCCTAGTGCCCGTGCTCCGCAACAAGAGAAGCCACCACACCGAGAAGCCCACGCACCGCAACGAAGAGTAGTCCCCACTCGCCGCAAAGCCCACGTGTGGCAACGAAGACCCAAAGCAGCCAAAAATAATTAATTAATTAATTAATTAAAAAAATAAAATAGTGGGCTATCCACAGTGCATATCATTCTTTTAAAAATAACGTTTAAAAAAACCCTGGATAGTGTGTTCTTTCCAAAGCAGTTTGCCATACTCTGAACCAGTGACTTCTTTAGCTGCCAGTGCTTGCCAGACTTATTGATTTAAAATGACTTCATTCATGTTAACACAGCATCTGTGTGGAAGGAGTAACTTTATAGGACATTTTTTTTTTTTTTTTTGCAATACGCGGGCCTCTCACTGTTGTGGCGTCTCCCGTTGCGGAGCACAGGCTCTGGACGTGCAGGCTCAGCGGCCATGGCTCACGGGCCCAGCCGCTCCGCAGCATGTGGGATCCTCCCAGACCGGGGCACGAACCCGTGTCCCCTGAATCGGCAGGCAGACTCTCAACCACTGCGCCACCAGCCAAGTCCTATGGGACATTTTTTATAATTTGAGACGATCTTATTTAAGGAGGAATCTTGCAATTATCTCTTTTGCCTCAGGGAAAATATAGCTTTTTTTCCCCCTTTGTCTGGTTATAATGACAAATTATTTTGCTTTAAAGAAGGAAAATGAGGGAAAGACAGAAAAGATATAAAGGGAGATGAAAAATGTTCCAGGAAAGAGCAAATAAAATTATTAAAGGGATGCAGAGGCCAGGAAAGAAATTTGGAAGTAGACTAAAAGATTCACTCCTTTTCCATCAAGAAAGATGAGAAGTTATCAGACTTTAAATAAGTCACATAAGGTTAAGGTGAACCGTCATATGTTTACCAAATCCTAGAGTATTAGGAAGAGGTACTTTTCAAAAAAGAATGCATTATTTTTCATATTAGTACATATTTGAGGGTCTCAGAATCCAAAAAAATGACCTTGGTACAAATACGATTTAAATGGGAGATCCAAGATGGCAGATACATAGCATGTATGTCACTAGGTCTCTTTCTGTACCCATGACAGACATTATTAATTGATCAGGCTGCTGTTTCCAACTTAACTAGATACATGCACCCTTGGAATTCTTTTCAGCACAGTGTGACAGAAAGTCGGTTAGCTAGAGATGGCCCTTGAGATGAGCCCATTTTGCTACCTACGGATTAGCCTTACTACTCAGTGTGAGCTCCAGACCACCAGCCTGGGTGTCCTGTGGGAGCTTATTCAGAAACCAGAACCTCAGCCCCATTCTAGACCTACTGAATCAGAATCTGTATTTTAGCAAGATACATAATTCTTATGTATATTAAGGTTTAAGTGGCCCTGGATGAGCACTGAATACATGATACATTCATTAGGGTGGAAGCTCTGAAACTTCAGAGTGCTTCAGAATCACTGGGTTAAACACTTGGTAAACCTAGATTGTTGGGCCCCAGCTCCAGAACTTTTGGTTTAGAAGATCTAGGGTGGGGCTTATCAAACAAGCTTCCAGGTGTTGATGCTGCTGCTGGTGGTCTGGGGACCACAGTTTGAGAAAAACTGCATTAATGCCATGGAAATACTTTGGAATATCTCCATGACCTTTAAAGTCAAAGACTGCAGTATATTTCCATAACTTTCCTTCAGAGGGAGGAATACCTGAAATTGTGTACAAGACTGTGTGCATTTGCATAGAATGGGTGGAGATAAGATAGGAGAGGGAGCAGGCCAGGGTAAGAGGCCTTCTTATTTCTTAATGCTGCTTTGAGAGATTGTTTTAAAACTTTATTTCCTACGATCTGGATAATGACAAATCAATGCTATTGGCATTGAAAATCAGGCTATAGGGTGGGCATACTGTGAAAACCTGTATCTCAGAGCCAGAGAAGAGAAACAGCTTATAAACAGAGATGACTGGGGGGGGGGGGGGGGTTTGCAGAAGCAGTAATTTAATAATAGGGATAATAATACCCAACTTACTGGTCTCTCACATAGCTAAGTACCTGTGCTAAATGACTGTAATGAACGATCTCATTTAACCAAACAACAGTATATTATGTATATGTAATCAAACCCCTTCCTTACTCCCAGTGAGAACCGAAGCTTTGTAAGGATGTATGTAAAGTCAGAGAACTTGCCCGATTTAAATCCAGGTAGTTCTACGGGGGTGGGGGCGGGCTTCTCATCTATGAGGGGTCTGGCTTGCCTGTGTCATCTCTTCCAACTCTCAGCGAGGAACCCATAGAGCACCTGGGACAGGAGAGAAGTCCTCAGGTGAATTAAAGTCGAGGAACCTGTAGGGCCAGTGCGTCCGAGGTGCGGACAGGGAGGGGCTCCTACATGAAGCGCAGCAGAATTTAGCCCGAGCCCGCCGGGGTCATGGAGCTTCTCCTGGCTTCCTCTGGCCAGTCTGTGGTAGGTTGCAAGGAGGAACCGTCTTGGGGCGGGAGGCTTCGCGGGGTATTGTATGTGCCTATAAATACTTCAAATAGTTAAGTGAAATGTGCAGCCTTTGAAAGCTGGAGAGGAAGCTATTCGGAGGCCCCCCGGCCCGCCTGGAAGAGCTGGCAGAAAAGAGAAGAAATGGCTGGCGCGTCCTTAACGCGGGAGACGAGGAACGGCCCTGCCCAGACCAGATGGGGGGCCGCGGGGCTGCAGGCGCGACTCCGGAAGCCTCAGACCGTTAAGGTGACCAGAACAATTTTAAAAAGGAAATAAACTTCCCCGGAGCCTTCCCCGCGGGGCCCCGAGGCGGGCGCTTGCGTTCGAAAGGGCATTTTTCAAAAGGTTTCAGGGACGCGGGGGTGTCAGCCCGCGGGGGAGCGCGAAGCCCGAGCAGCGCTGCAGAACGGCCACCAGCTGGCTTTGTACTTGCGGCCAAGCGCGGCCCCAGACTTTCGGCGGCGGCCCGGGAGTTGAGGCCACGCCCCCCTTTGCAGTGAGAGCCGCGGCTGCAGATTGGCCCGCCACGGACCAATCGGCGCGCCGGGGCGGCCCGGGCTGTCAGCGCGCGTCGCAGCAGCGCGGGTAGCAGCCTGTCCTACCCTGCGCGGAGCCCCGCAGCCAGCGCAGCCTTCCCGGGAAGCGCGGCGGCCGCTCGCGAGCGCTGCGCTGCCCTGCCCAGCCCGCCAGCCGCGCGTCCCGGTGCCCGCGCCCCACGGCCACAGCCTTGCTGCGCTATAACGCACGGAGCATGTGCAGACCCGCAGGCGCCGAGGTGCTATCTGTCCGGCGGGCTTCTGAGCAGTGGTGACTGTCACGCGTAGAGAGACCTTTCGGGGGCTCTCGCCGCGGCTCTGCGTAGCGGGTGACACTGCGGTGCTCGCAATCAGGGCGGCAGCTGCCTCTCGGTGAAGACGTCTTGGGCTCCGTGCGCCCTCCCTCTCCCCACTATCGTTCTTTCCTTTCCCCAGCTGCTCGCTCCTTAGCTCGCCCGCTCACACCCGCAGCCTCCCTGAGCGGGAGGCGTGGGTCCCCGCCGCTTCTCTTCCGAAGGGGCCTCCTCACTTCGGAGATGCAGTGACAAGTTAATATGGGCGTCCAAGCCTCGAGTTCCCAGGAGGAGAATCGCAGGAGGCAACAGCTCCTGAGCACCCGGAGCCCTTGAACAGGCCGCCCAGGAGGGGCGTGAAACCCGGCTGCAGCATCCGTCCAGGTGGGACCAGCTGAGCGCCGCGACCAAGGCGAGCTCGCCGGATTGCTCCGAGATCCCCGACCCGGGGATATTTTTTTCTTTCCCTCGGCTAGTGGTGGGCGCCTCTCGGGCCGAAGCCCGGCGCCTGCTCTGCTGCCCGCGCTGCCTTTAGCGGTCGCCTCCGCCGCCGCTGCCAGGGACGTGCTGGGAAAGCCGAAGCCCCGGGAGAAGATGCCGGCCATCCTGGTCGCCTCCAAAATGAAGTCGGGACTGCCCAAACCCGTGCACAGCGCCGCGCCCATCCTGCACGTGCCCCCAGCCCGGGCGGGCCCCCAGCCCTGCTACCTCAAGTTAGGAAGCAAGGTGGAGGTGAGCAAGACCGCCTACCCTAGCCAGATCCCCCTGAAATCGCAGGGGCTGCAGGAGCCGGCGGGGGAGGGGCTCCCGCTGCGGATGAGCGGCTCGGTGGAAAACGGGTTCGATACCCAGGTGAGAGGTGCTGTGTGCCGGGGCACTGTTCTGGGAGAAGGGTGAATGCTTGGTGGGGGGGGGGGGTTGGCATGGCCGAATAGGGGACAGGGCTACCATGTGGGCTGAGAAGGGAACCGTCCCACTTAGGCCGGCAGATTGGGGGATGCGCGCGGAGAGTGGGCTGGCCAGTGGGTGTGGCCGGGTGACCGAGGTTTGCCTTAAGGAGCTCTGTGAGACCGGGGTGCGGTTACGTCTGCGGCTTCCTTCTGGCGGGCACGGTCAGGGTGTTCTCAAAACTGTGCCGCACTGGAAATGTCAGGTTCTGCATGTTGAGATCTTGGTTCCAAGAAGGCAGTGACTGCTGCAGTGTCTGTCTGTCTGTGTGTCGGTTCTGCAGAGATTCTGTCCCTGCCAAGGAATAGTCCGAGGCCTCGTTGGGCTCCGCGCCCTCTGGCCTGGCTGAAAGATCCAGGTAGAGGGGTCTGGGGGTGGCAGTGTACCTGCTCGCCTCGTCGTGAAGATGCCTGCCCCTGCCCCATCCTTTGGGTTGACAGGATTCCAGGCATGGTGCTGGGACCGCAGTAGAAGTGCTCGGTGCACCAGCGGAGGCAGGCAGCTGGAGACTCCTAGCGTCTCGGCTGGCTGTTGCGGTGGGCGGGGGTGCCTGCCTCAGAATGGCGGCCCGAAGCTAAGCCCCTCCTTCCTGGGTAGCAGATCCTGGTGCCGGTAGCCCGGGTGACTGGGGCTGGGGTGGGGGGATGACATGAAAAGAATTGATGACTTCTACCTTTCCAGACAGAGCCCGCATCACCCAGTTCGGCTGGGTGACGGGCCCTAGCCATGCAATCTCTTTTAAGGAAATCAGCAAGGGCCAATCAGGTTCTCCTGGCCTCCTGCCCTTTCTGCTGCTTTTTTTTTTTTTTTTTTTCTTTTTTCCTCTTCTGGTAGGAGGGAGCAGGGGCGTGCTGTATTTTCTTGGCCGTTAGTCAGCAGGGACTTTTGGGGACAGGCAGACCTGACGGATGTGACTGTCCCGGTCAGGAGAGGCGGGAAACCAGCGGGGGAGGTAGTTTGGGGCTGGTGTCAGGGAAGTGGCAACAGACCAGCTGACCTTTTTGACACTTATTCTCTGCTGACACTGTCTCCACCTTCTCCTGGAGATTTCTCTGATCAGAGGCTAGAACTCAACACATTCCTAGCCTTTCTGATGGAGGAACTGGAGCTGGAAGCTAATTGTAAGCAGACTTTTGGAACTCTGGGTTGGAGAAGGCCCTCAAAGCAGATTAAGCTCCCACGCCAGGCTGATAAGCATGCCCCTTGCTGCTGCACTTGCTAAACATGTTTGGAAGCTGACAGGTTTGAGTGATGGTGTGTGGGAGAAAGATTTCCCCCAGTGCTCCCAGGGCCTGTCTCTGCCGGGGTTTTGTGCTCTGCGCTCTTTTTCTGCCTTCGGCACAGGTTTGTACGTGGGCTCTGAAATGGGAATGAGCTTGGGGGTGCACCCTTGTGAGGGTTTCCCCTCCATCCTTGGAGACGGGGCTGATGAGGTGTGGTGGGTGGTATGCGGGAGGCCGGAGCAGTGACTCCGGGATGTGACACACAGCCTCCAGCCTGATGAGGAGGACCCAAGGAATGAGGGGGGAAAGTGGACATTGGGATCGTTGCTACCCAGGCAGCTGTTCTACCGTTGCCCATCTGACCCTTCATTTAACAAACACTGTCGGTGGACTTGCCATGGGCAGGCTCTGGAAAGGTGATTCATCCCTCTTCTTCCTGAAAAAATGATCTCCAGCTGCTGCCGGAGGAGCTGGTGTGGTCCAGTTCCCTCAAGGCTTTTCTTCTCTCCCTTGCCCTCGGCCCACAGGCCCCTGGCTGCCCCCACGCCACCTGCCTCGCCCTCAGTGGGACCTTGTGTACTGACCACATGGATGGTTTGGATGGATTGCTGAGGAAATTGGCCACTTCCCAGTGGGCTATCCTGGTTTTCACCAGCCTGCCCTTTCTTTATTCATGGCCGAGCTTCCTGGCGTCTCTTCTCTGTGGCAGGTACAGATCCTTTGTCTCACTGCCTCACCCTGGCGTCCAAGTGACATTGGCAAAAGGGGTTTTCCCGTCTTTGGACAAGGCTTCCTCCCTCTTTGCCTGACACGGTGTCCATTTACATCCAGGAAGGCCTCTCCGTACGGCTCGAGGACTGTGTCAGACTTGACACATCTGGTAGTCCTGGACTCAAAACCTGGCGTTTATCACTAGAAGATACTCAGGAGATGATGAGTTAAATGGCAAATGGCATCTGACTCCCCTTTTATTCAGGGGGCTTTGGGGAGAAGGCTGGGTTGTGCAGTGGTCAGTAGCACAGGCTTTAAAGTCAGGTGGATATCCCTGGTATCCTGTCTCCACCATGTACTAGCTGGTGACCTAGTCCATTAACCTCTCTGGGCCTCACTGTTCCCATCTGTAAAAATGGGCATTAAACAACCACACAAATTATGAGGATTAAGAAAAAGAACATATGTAAAGTGTCATATATACATATGTTGATATATACACATATACATACATCATTTAGACATGTGTATAGACATATATAAGTAACATGTATAAAGCCTAGTGTCAAGCCACTAGGAAACACTCGATAAAACGAGCTATTCGTATTGCTAAGCCAAGAGATGGGGCACTGTTGAACGTAGATCTGACAGCCTCTCAGGGAGAAAAGGCATAGCTTGTTCTGTCAAGCCCTTGAGAAGGTATCATTCAGTCCGCGAGGATTTACAGAGCATCTGTCACGTGCCTAATACAGTACCAGCCATGGTGGGAAGATGAGGGAAGTGCCTGATGTGCCAGGCTCTTTACATACGATCTCATTTCATTCCTACAGTAACACTTAAAGCATATATAACATTTTCTACGACAGTAATTTCCTGTAACATCTTCTTTAACTACAACAGTATAATAATGGCGAGTCATCACATAGCACTTCCTATGTGCCAGGAATTGTTCTAAAAGACCTCATTTGATTCTTACAACAATCCAGTGAGACAAGTGTTATTATTCTCTTTTGACACATGAGGAAACTGAGGCAAGGACCGGGTTAGTAACCCCTTGAGCAGCAGAAGTAGAATTAGGACTCAGACAGTCTGGCTCTGGACTCCATGTCCTAAACCAGCATGCTATAGAGAGAGAGTCATAGGGACTTTCCAGTTACTCGCAGGCCCTGATTTCTAAGAGCAGTGCTCTAGCCATTGAGCTGGAAGAGTACGCAGGACTTAGCAAAAGGTAGAATAACTTGCTCTAGGTCATCCTGCTCCAGGGTGGTGAGTGGGGGGCCCAACTCAGGTTGGTCTGGCTTCCAGGCTGGGGGTCTTCCCCTCTTCACAGCTGCCGTCCTCCTGGATGCTCTGGCGGAGGTACGGGGGATAAGACACGGCCTGGGCCTTGGAGATCTTATAGTCCAGTTGGGAGGCATGACTGATGTACCCAGGGCATCAAGCACAACACGAAGAGGGCTGAGAGGTATGCTTGGGGCTGAAAGGAAGGAAAAGGCCACCATGGCTGGAGAAGTCCTGAGGGCCTCACGGAGGAGGCAGGAGATGGCGGGCTCCAGAGATGGGCAGGAATGGCTGGCTGGGGAGGAGAGGGGGTGAGATGAGCATGCCAGGGAAGGAGGAGAAGCAGGGCCACGCAGCGGTGCAGAGCAGGAGTGGGTGTCGCCACCGGGAAGCCGCACCTTCGCCTAACAGGTGATTGCTTCGTATCTGGTATCTTCCTTTTGAAAGGTAGTCATGAGCAAAGAACAAAGGCTTCTTGCAGTTGAGTGATTGGATTTGCGTGCTGCCTTCGTGGTCCGTAGTCATCCTGAGCGTGCAGGGTAGTTATGAGAAGGTGGAAGGATGGTGTCCATAAAAGACCTGTTTCATAACAGCCCCTTGGGAAATGACAGTGATTATTATTATTAGCTTAGGGTTCAGAATATCCAACATGGTAGTGATGCGGAAAGGACATGGGTCTCGTGGCTTTTATTAGGCAGCGACTCTCTTTAGCCAGTGACAGCCTGTTCTCCCCCAAGCCTGCTGTCCATCGCCATCAAGTGTGAAAAGACCTGACGCAGCCAGCAGCTAGCTTTTAGGTGCAGCCCCACTGTCGACTTGCCAAACCCCTCACGTTGAATCTCTCCCGCAAACCTACAGCAGGGGCTCGACCCGCAGAGAGAGGAACTGCTCTGCAGCCACACATCCCTCCCGAATTCCCCTCCTGGTGTTGGGATACCTGGGCCTTCCCCCAAGAATGAACATTTATAGCATCTGCTCTGTTAACATGGCATATAAATTATGACCATGTGCAAAGAATTGTTTTAGAGATCTGCTCTGTGTTAGTTCAGAAACTCTGTCCGGCTGACCTTCAGATAAGGAATGCTTGTGAGCTATTTGAGGAGAGGTTAGCCTATTTTTAAGAAGCAGTTGCAGGGGAAAAAAATTATATATATAATATTTTGATATTTCCTGTTTTTAGGAGCCTGGGGTTCAACTTGCAACTCGTTTCTTTAAAAAAGTAATTAGAAGTGATTGAAATCCTCTGTGGGTGTTTTAGATGTTTAAAAAGAAAGCGCAGGCGAGGCCCCTGGGAAGAGAGCGCAGCTCCAAGCTTGCAACCTGTTGCAACTTTGCCCCATTGTGTTTTGATTAGAATCCTCGCTCCATCATCAAAGTTGATTATGGATTTGATTAGTGCATTTTTCTGCTATTGTGTTATTCCCTTTCTTCTCTTCCTCGGTTCTTGGAGGGGGAATGTGTAGCATGGTTATCTGCCAACATGCAAGAATGTTTATAGTTCACGTATTATTGCTTATTCCGTGGGTTAATTTTCTGAAGACACTTTAAGGGTGGGACTGGTGGCTAATTTAGGGTATCATTACGTGTGTATATATGTGTGTATAAATACATCTCCTTCTGGATATGTGTATATATACATATATACACACACATATACAAATATATACACATGGAGCAGCTTAAAGTAAT